ATAATATATTGATAGTGAAATAATTTTATTTAAAATTAAAAATCAGGTTCAGATGGTTTTTAAGTTCCAGCACTTTTAAACTGTTATTACTCTAAAACAATAAAAAAAAATGTTTCCTGATTAAAATGCAGTTTTTCCTGCTGTCACCTACTCTTTAAATAGTGATAAGTAAGTTTTTAATGTTAGAATAAAAAAATCCATTGTGTAATTTTGACTTAACCCAACACCTAAAGCAGACGCACCATAGCCATGCCACAAAGGCTGTGAATAGAGGCTTGCACCAGAAGTGTGTGCATACAATTACTGTGTTCATTTATTCTGTATTATAAAAGGATAACCTCATCCCCCAATATAAAATTGCCCTTAGTCTACAGAGTAAGTCTGTTCTGCTTCATTCATGATCTTTTATGCTGCCTCTTGAGACTATGTTTTACTTGAGGCAAGGCATTTTGCTAGCCTAATTCCTAGGCTTAATACCAATTGTCAAGTGTATTTACCAATCTCACACATTTTAGCCGGGGGAAAAGTAATTTATAACTCTGATACACTTGTATCTCAGTTTTCAGGGTCCTAAATAGCATTTATTGTGCCTTTCAAATTTGAAAATCCTTATAAGTTTGCTGAAAATTTGCTATCAAGGACAGCTGCTACTTATATTTACCTGTTTTCTTCTCATATGCATTCTCCACTGTTGTAGACACTAGCATTTAAAAAAAAAAATAAATGAGTTCAAATAACACATTCTCTTAAATGTAATTAAAGAACTGCACTAAAAATTTGCATTTTAAACAAAAATGGAACAAGAGCTTTTGTAGACTATCTTTTTCACCTTGTAGCAATGTTTTGAAGATACTGGTTTTTATTTACTTTTAATATTTTTTATTATTTCTTTGCAATATTTATTTCTACTTCTAAAAATGAGGTCATATGATTTATAAATCTTCAATGACTTTTTAGAAAAATATTTAAGTAGGGAAATGCTCCTTCTCGTGGAATATGAATTTAGTGAAAGAATATCTAACTTCAAGTTTACTAGTGCATTACATTGAGTTTAAGATAAGGAATACTTTCAACTTTGACCATGTAGCTAATAAAAAGGTGCCTTTCTTTCAAATTTCAGTTCATTTGTAGTGAAATATGGTCATTTGGTTTTATATATACTGGAAACCACGGGGAATTTTAAGTTTATTTTGTGCTTTTTAAGCATTGTCAGATTTGTAGTGGTCAGTATTCCCAGTTCATTTCTGTCCTTCAAACCAGAGCTCACAGCTGGTGCTATAATTTCTCTACAGAGCATAACCATTTACAATTCTGTTTTTAACCACAGGGCTTCAAAAGACCACGTAGCAGTTCCTTCATTCCTAAATAAAAGAGGGCCATAGCCTGTCCTGGGAATAAGGCTGCCAATGAGCCTCAAATATCCCCTGCTGGATATGGGGATTCATTGGGGCAGCTGTGCTTGCTGAGTCACTCCCTGGTGGCAGTGATGAGGCTGATTTTTCTCTGCCATGAATCTCTTTCTCCTCTCAGTTCAGTCTCGGCTCACAGCATTTATCCAGTCACACCTGATAGAATCACGCTATTCTTTATGCAAGGTGGACCCCAAGGTTTGACAGTCCATACGCAGTCTTGACCCTAAAATGAGGAAGAGTGATTTGCAGATGTAGTGATTTGATTTGTTTTAATGAACCTGATGCTCTAGCTAAATATATATGAGCTTTTCTTATCTCCTTATTTATTTTAGCCCCTGCTGATTTTTTAAAAATTTTATATGTCTTTTGCAAATGGTTTTGTCAGCTCCTACTTCCTCTCACATCCTTATGCTATACTACTCACAGTGACAACAAAAGACAGCTGACCCATAGTCACTAAGCAACAACCAAAAAAAGTAAAATTATAAAAACAAAATTAAAGTATGGCTAATTTTACCATTTTTTGCCACTTCATTTTGCTTTCCTTCTTAATATGCACTTTTGCCTGGTTCCTTCCTTTCTTAGAACCAGGTAATAAAAATGCCACAGAAATCACCTACTCCACCCTGTGCCTTTAGGCAGGGGAACCTGAAGCAAAACTCTTGGAGGATTTATCCTTATACTTTCCTGCAGTGTTTATAAATGTAGTGATTCAAACAAAAATTTTTCCCATGACGTGTTTGGCTGATCTATTCGCACTAAAAATAATAGCACTTGTTAAATGTAAAAAAGAATAGGTAGAGAGGATTTAACCTTCTTCTTCTTCTCCTCCTCCTCTTCCTCCTCCTCCTCCTCCTCCTACTCCTTCTTCTTCTTCTTCTTCTTCTTCTTCTTCTTCTTCTTAACTGCTGTCTTTAAAATATATATGTATATATTACTGATTTCAGAGAGGAAGGGAGAGGGAGAGAGAGATAGAAACATCAGTGATGAGAGAGAATCATTTATCAGCTGTCTCCTGCATGCCCTACACTGGGGATCAGTTCTTCAACCTGGGCATATGCTCTGACAGGGAATCAAACCCTGACATCCTGATTCATAGGTCAGCACTCAACCACTGAGAAATACTAGCCAAGCTAAACTCCTGTTTTTATCTCTTATTTAAAAGTTATATTATTGTGTTATGTTTATGAATCATTTTGAATTTGGAGTTGGATTTCTATTTTAAAATGTTCCTTTTTTAAAAAATTCTCTATCATCTTATCTGCCTAAATTAACACTCTTATGCAAATGTATGTGTTATTCATGAACAGATTTGCTGATATTCTCCAAGATATATATTTTTGTTTCATATGTATTTATTTTTATTTTTTTAAATTCTCTAATATACAGAGTCATGTATGCACAGGTAGACATGATTGATATCAAAGAAGGACTGGTCAGTTTCAACTCTGGTTTTAAAATGTCAGTAATAGATGTAGCTTCCTTACATAGAGAGATGTCTTCCTGCTGTGAGTCAGAGAACATGGTTCAAAAGGAAAGGCAAAATCACATTAGAATAACTATTTTATGGTAATGGATAGTAATAGATTGCTTATTAATTCCCTTTGAGAGTACAGTCTAAATTTCTCTACATACTTGGTGAAATTGATAAAGTTGGTTATAATTACAAATATTATTTCTGAATCTAAAAGGACAAACCAAACACAATGGATGGTTTTGTTTATCTGGACTTTAAAATTTATCAGGAAGGAGTGTAGCAGATGGTCAAAGGAATGACATTCCAGGGTGCAAATAAGAACTTAATGACATGTTGAATCATACATTTGTCGTTTGGCAGAAACACAAGAGAAGCCAGGAGAATACTCACAAACTTAAATGAACTTAAATCTAAAAAGCAAGGATAGGTAAATTCTAAGATTAAAAGAAGGGGAAGTCAGGTAACATGAGTGAATGAATATTCCTTCAGTGAAGAACATGAGGAGGTTGTGCTGCTGAATTATTACAAGATACATTAGTTCATTTCTGTTTTAATTTCTTAATATGTGTCAACACAATAAAGACACCATAACAAAAGACAAATTTCTGCTGAGTGTAGTTCACATCATAATGTATCAAGTACCTATTGTGTGAAAGGAGCTTTTCAGGAAAGCCAAAAAGCTTTGTTTCATGCGTGGGCTTGATAACAGTTGAATTATGAATGGATCTTACTACTTCTGGGAGGAAAAAAAGGAAAAAGTGAAAATAATATGAAGCCATGAATATTTATCTCACTAATAGAAGTTAATGTTCTATTTCCAACTTTCTCTTCAGACATATATACATTTTCTTAAGTCCAATAAGAATTTCAATTGTTTCTCCTGTTCTGATAGATTTGGAAATATTTTAATAGGGTGCACCAGGAGAGTCATTAAACTGGCAGACATAGAATGAGGAAGAACAATGCAAAAGTAATCCTGCACCCTGTGCATCAGAGGCCATCAATACCAATAGGAAGGGAACTGGTGTAAAGAGGCAGAATGACATTGTGGTTTTTGAGGGTTCTAGAATATAATGTGATTGTATCCTGATTATTCACTAGCTCTATGGTTTCAGCCAATTTATCCTCTGGGACTCAGTTTCTTTATTATCAAATTATTATTTATAATAAAAATGATATCCCTTAAAATATAAGGAATTTAACACCCTGTCCCTTTGTAAAATAAATAAATAAATAAATAAATAAATAAATAAATAAAATTTAAAAAAAGTATCTTTATTGTTGAAAGTATTACAGAAGTCTCCTTTCTTTTCCCCAGTGACCACCTTCTATCCCTCTCATCCTCCCAGGCCTTCACCACACTATTATCTGTGTCCATGGGTTGTGCATATCTGCATACAAGTTATTTGTTTGAGCACTTCCTGCTCAATGCCCTTTCCTTTTGAGATTTGTCAGTGTCTTCTATGTCTCTGGATCTATTTTGTCCATCAGTTTATTTTGTTCACTATAATTTAACATCCTCTCCTTTTTAAGGTGTGTGGATTATTATGCAAGCATTATATTACTATATTATATAGCATTTTAAAAGTACATAAAAATACAATTACTATTTTTTTCTTTGTTGACTTTCCCATGAGGTGTTTGCTATAAGAAGAGTGCTTCAAATCCCAACTAAGTCTAAAAAGTTTATCAAATGATCTGTTTTTCCTGTATATATATATTATCTATACCAGTGGACCTTAAACTTTTTTGTACACGAATGTCATCTAAATATTTGCTAAATATGTATTCCTCTCACTTATATTCACAGTCACCAGGTTTGAGTTTGGGACCACTGACTCACCCCAAAGTTTAGTATCTATTGCTGTCTCCCTCCTCTGCCTTCCACGGTTCCCCCTCTCCTTGAGTTTGGACTTTATTAATTTTTCAAATAGGTTTCTCAATGTGAGGACCAATATTAGTTATTCTTTAGGAACTTCCCCTTTATGTTCCCTTTTCCATTTCATAAACTAAAAGACAAATCACACATACCCATTTTATTCACTAACATAAATGTGAATCTTGAACGGCTCTTTACTAAGTACGTTTTGTTTTGCTTATGTCTGTCATAGATAACACAGCCAGCATTCTGACAAGGCGGAGGAGATTTAGTCGAACTATTCAGGATGTGTATTATCTCCCCATTATGATCTCTGATGGTGGAATCCCCTCTCTCAGCAGCAGCAGCACCCTCACCATCAGGGTTTGTGCATGTGAGAGAGATGGGCGCGTGCGGACCTGCCATCCCGAAGCGTTCCTGTCCTCCACTGGTTTGAGTACAGGAGCCTTAATCGCTATTCTTCTGTGTGTTGTCATTCTCCTAGGTGAGTCCTTCTAAAGCCTAATGCTGTATGATAGCACTTCTGAGTATACACTGCAACGACCAGTAGTCCACTAGACAAGAGAGAAAGATGGGGAGAAGAGAGGGATTTTGACAAAATTAAGAAATAAAAATGTATAAGGTGAATAGTAAAATGTGGCTGCACAATTTCATTTCAATTTACTTTCTCAAGACTACCATTAATCTAGATATAATTTGATTCCGATGTGACAAAAAAGAAAGTTGAAATAGCAGGAAAATGGAATGGAATATGAGCGAAGTCATTTTGGAAACTCTTTTAGAAACAATTGATATTCTAAATCCCATATTGAACAGGCTTTTACAATTAATTTCAAAGAGCAAAAGTGGTCTAGTTCTAAAATTAATCTCAACACCAAATTTTTAAAAATTGCTTTCTTGTAGAAACGTCTATTAGTCTGAAATATTACTTAATCTTCTATGGTAGCTGAATTCTAATGTTATGTAGTATAAATAATTTGGGCCTTAGAGATATTAAAATTTATTAAAATACAACAAGTAGGACTTTTATTTGATTAAAAGAAAAATACTTCATCTAATTTTGTATTATTATTGTAAAAGTCAAATTCTTACAACAAACTCATTTGTAGCTGTGATTGCTATAAACTTATTAGAATTGTTATTTAATACAAGACAGCAAATCTAGATTTTTAAAACAAGAAAAAAATGATGTAAAGGGCATTTCTGCTTTATAGTTCAAAGAGGAAAATAGATTTGTTTTTCCAGTGTGTTCTCTCCCTTCTATCTTTCTATTAGCAGCAGCCTTCACTTTTGTTCTTTTCTTAGTACTATACAAAAACAAAACAAAACAAAACAAAATAAACAAAGCAAAAGCTATATGAAACAGATATATCCTTACAAGATATGTTTCCTGTTTGGTTTCTGGGGTAGAAGCCAAGTTACCTGTACAGAAGGAGTGGAGAGCAAGGTGGGATCTGGCTGAAAAGTGAAATAGAGATTCAGGCAGGGTTGAGGCAGCTGAGGGCTTCTTGGACATGGTATATGTGGAGGGATTTGTTCTAGAAGTATAGATAGAGATTTAAAGTAGTGAAATCTCATCATGAAGTTTGCATTAAAAATAAAAAGCCAAAATTGGGTTGGCTCAATGGATAAAGTGTTGGTCTGTGGACTGAAAGGTCTCAGGTTCAATTTCGGTCAAGGACATGTACCTTGGTTGTGGGCTCATTCCCAGTAGGAGGTGTGCAGGAGGCAGCTGGTTGCTGTTTCTAGCTCTCTATCCCTCTTCCTTCCTCTCTGTAAAAAAAATATATATATATAAAAAATATATATATATATATATATATATATATATATATATATATATATTTAAGATGACTAAAAGTAAAGCAGAGAACAGATCTCAGGAAGGCAAGAAAGCACCAGACAAAGTGATTAGGAAGAAAATGAAGCATCTCGTTCAGACATAGCAGCATTTGGATCAGCTGACTTTGAGTGAAATGGCAAAAAGGTGGCTAATGTCAAGATTTTTAGTTGAAATCAGAAGCTATTTTGGATAATAATGTGCAGGTTCCCTAATGAAAATATTTATCAAAATTTTAACTAAAAGCCTAACCAGTTTTGCTCAGTGGACAGAGCATTGGCTTGCTCACCAAAGGGACCCAGGTTGGATTCTGGTCAAGGACATGTGCCCTAGTTGCTGGCTAGATTCCCAGTGGGGAGCATGCAGGAAGCAGCTGAGCAAAGATTCTCTCTCATCATTGATGTTTCTACCTCTCCCTCTTCCTTCTTCTCTGAAATCAATAAAAAATATATTTAAAATAAATTTTAGCTAAAGCACATGAGATTCCACTTGAAAAAGTGCAATGTTAATAATTTCATTTCTGTGAAGAGAAATTAATGTCTGTGACATAGTGTCCTTTTTTGAAACAACATTCCACGGTCAAAAAATAAAAAGCTGATAAGAAGTGATCTTGGATACATTTGATATATGGCTAAGTTAGAACAGTATCAGATGCCACCTTTTATCTCTGGCTGACTATGATCCTGATCTTCCCTGAGCTGGTGGACTTCAGAAGTGCACTTTGTTGGAGAATATAAAGTGGTAACCAACTAGGACTGATCTGTGATAAACTCCAATGTGATCATTACGTCAAGAAGAATGAGGTAACAGAGGAGACCAAAGGAAAAGTCAGCAAAAAAAGAGAAGTTTAGTAAAGAATAATGGCATAAAAGTCAAAGGAAGAAAATGTATCAAAGGGAGAAGACCACCCACAATGTCAAAAGTGCTCAGAGGTTGATTAATTGATTACCAAAAAGTATCAGTTGCACTTAGCAACATGGGTATGGAGGCTTTGTGCACCATAACAAGAACTGTTTTATTGCAGTATACTCTTTTGCAGATGCATGGTGGGGGAGAAGGAAATCAGAAAAATCAGACTTCCTGGAGTGTTTCTGTTGTTGTTGTTTTTGTTTGCTTTTTATTTTTTCAGAGAGAGAAAGTGAGAAGGAGAGAAAGATAGAAACATCAATGATGAGAAAGAACCATTGATTGGCTGCCTCCTGCACACCTCCTACTGGGGATGGAGCCTGCACTCAAGCATGTGCCCTGACCTGGATTCCAACCTTGACCCTCTGGTTCATGGGTCAACCCTCAGCCACTGAGCCACAACTGTCAGGCAGGAGTTGTTTGTTTATATATATTGATTAGTCACAATACTGTTTTCTTTAGATAGTAACACATTACATTCTTTGTCTTTGAAAATTAAAAACAAATAAACAACAATCTCATAAACAAACAAACAAACAAAACAAAAAACAGGAAAGAAAACAACTACAAACATTGATCCCTTTAGGGTTTTTAACTTAAAACTACAAAGTATAGAACTTAATGACTTTAATATAAGTTCTTGCAGAGTCCTTATTCTGACAGGTTGTTCAGTTGGGAGAGGCCTTTGGCTTTTGTTATCATTTATCTTCATGAAACTATTTTCCTTTACTATGCTAAGACCTTAAAAAGCAATTGAAAAATGTTAATATTCAGATCCATTGAAGGTATATTATGTAAAATAACATTTTATTATTTTATGAAACAATATTTTAATTTAACTTACTTTATAAAATTTGATTTTCTCTTTGGGATAAGAGAACATTTCTAAATTTTATGTTACCCCTAAGCACTAAGGAAGCCAAGATGCTATTTTTATTGAAACTCAAATATATTCTTATAGTTTTATCCAAAGGTAGCCTAGTAATTTCTTAAACTTGGATTTAAGCAATCATTTATAAAGTAATTTATATTTTTATGGCATTTTAGGTGTAATTATTATTATTCAGAAGATACTAACCAACACACTCAGAGTGTAGTCATTTGTCATTTTAAAACAATGTTTGTTAAGGTGTGAGTTTATAATTTCTAAGGAAAATATTAACAACACCAGAGGTAACAAATCTTCATGATAGACTTTGTAATTCTGAAGGACATTTAATCCTAAAAGCTAATATATCATGAAATTAATATATTAGAAATATGTTTTTACTAGTAGGCATTTATTTGTGAAATGACCTTAATTGTATAAATCTAGACCTCATTTTGCCATTAACTAATAGTATGACCTTAGGGACCCATTCAGGCTCTTTATATAGGACTTCTGATTCTATGAAAATACAGTTTCAACTGGAAGGACCTAGAGCAATATGTAGAATTTTGTAGTGCTTATTTTTGTTTTATTATAATAACACATATTGCTATATACATATTATTATTCATTATTTTACAGTATGTTCAGACTCTATGTATATATTAATTACCACAAAAAAGAGTGCTTGAAAATCAAAAAGGCCTAAATGTAAATGATAGATGTGCAGATTGTGAGTAGGACACTGTCCTGTTAGAATTACCTTTTTCAGATCTGTTTTATAGGATGGATGGGAGAGAACAAATAGTGAGCCTACATGGTATAATCAAAATGCAGTGCTAGAGGAAGGGTAGCTATATGCCCTTCCTCTCATTGGAGTTGACATTTGTTTCCCATCTTCACTCCACCGCTTGCCTGAGCACCAGGCAGCTGGAAAAACAAACCTTAATTACACAGCACAAGAAATCACTGAAACAGGATCTGAATCAGACCTTTGCAGTCCACACATCACATATAAGCAGGTGACTTAGATGGGTACATCAGCTAGACTGTTCCTACTAGGGGATGTCAATTTCTTGATAAATGGAGATCAGAATGGATTTAAAATAAAAGAACAAGAAGACAAAGTGGAATTGATTAAGGAGATAAGTGTCAACCCATTTGTCACTAGAACTATTTTAGATGACTTTGTGGGAACCCCTTAGTTTGAAAAAAGAAGTTTCAAATTGAGAAGTGCCAATACCAGGTATAATAGACAGATGGAAGGAGCTAATAAAAATAATCTCCTGGACTCTGGACTTGTGTCATCTCATCCTATCAAATTTAATATTATGATGTAATCATATAAAACTAATTAAGTGATTATTTTGGTGTAAAAAAATCTATTATTAAAAATATTTGAGGAAAGTATGTTGGGAGTCAGTATATAAGGTATTCAAATGCAAGTTGTGTGACAGTTTAGGTTAAGAAAACTCAAAACCCTTTAGAACTACAATCACTGAAATGATGATATAAACCAACATACAAACAAAAAATAAAACAAATAGAAAAGTGTTTTTCCAAAATTCAGTCCCTTTTCAATAAAATAAAATTATAGTATTTAATAAGTTTATTTTAATTTTCATAAAATTAAAAAAATCAAATGGCTTTAAAATTCTGGCCAAACTCAAAGAGAAAAGAAGAGAAGAAAAAGAAACACTGACAAAGATCAAATACTCATTAAAATAAAGACTTCCTAAAATAATACAGTTTACTCATGTTTTAGTCCAGATCATCTAACCAAAATTCATAATACCATAAAATATTTATAATTTTGAATTAAGAAGAACAATTTCTGTTTCTCTTCAACCCAATGGTTCTGTCATATTCTGTTTTCCCAGAGAACCTACTGTAGGAAGAGATACCATGTCTTATGTGTATGGTTTGATAGATTGGTGGGAGGGGAAAGGAGGGAATCATTTCAATATATTTATTTCATTGACAGTTTTTAAATAAAGATTTAACTCTCAAAGTTATGTGTATAATTATTATTTTCACTCATTTTCCTTTAATAAATTTTTTTTGAAATTTTTAGAAAACATTTAGTCTGATTTTAAATATTAAAAAAAAATTCAAGTAAAATTGTGTTTGGTATCATTAGTAACCATAAGCTGATTTAAAATATATTTTAAAATTATTTTCTCACTGAGGCTATTACTATGCTTGATTTTTCACTTATACAATGCTACATTGCCAGTTTTACACAGATGATTCTTTGTCATTCCCTTGAGAATTATTTATGGAATATCTACTGTGTGTTTTCTGCTCTAGAAACACATACCAAACAACCATGTGTGTAAAAAGTCATCAAAAGCACATCTCATCATCCATGTTTCCGCATTCTTCTTCAAAAAATTTTATATATGTTTATTGATTTCAGAGAGGAAGGGAGAGGGAGAGAGAGATAGAAACATCAGTGATGAGAGAGAATCACTGATTGGCTGCCTCTTGCATGTCCCCTACCGGGGCTCAAGACCGCAACCTGGGCATGTGCCCTGACCAGGAATTGAGCTGTGACCGCCTCATTCATAGGTCAATGCTCAACCCCTGAGCCACACTGGCTGGGCTTCTCTGATTTGATTTGAATTTGCCTTTGACAAGAGGACCATGCGTTCATATTTGTTCTGATATCCTTATAAACAGCATTCCTTTCACTCTTATAAGTGTCTCAGATTGTATGATTAATTATATGTTGAGTCCCATATCAAATTTGCATGTAACAAATCTAGGAATATTGATCACTGAAAAATAACTACCCTGGAAAGAAATATATGTAAATTCTCAAAATTCAAACTTAACTGGTATCTACATTTTAGATTAAAATATGTCAGGAATATTTTCTTAAGTTTTGGGGAATAAGCAAGCACAAGCTATCATAATAATAAACCCAGCATTATCCCTTATGTTCATTAGGCAAATATGGTACTAATATTGGTGACATGAAAATTACCTCCGTACTTTGACAATAACATTGAACCAGTTCTTCCTCTGTATGCACATAAATCCCCTTGACATCAACCACCAATTATTTCAACATAAAGGAAAATAACTTGATTTATTGATAGAAGTTAGAAATTTTGCTATAATAAATTAGGCAGTGTGTAGAAACAGATATTTTAATCTAGACAGCCTAATCATAAAAATGAGCAGAAATATATAGTGGATGATAAATCTAAACCTCTGAATACAGTGAAGTCAGCTCCTTGAAGATGCTGCTTAGGCCATTGAATTAGAAAGCTCTAGGCTGGATTTACACTAAAATTAACAATGAAGTATTAGATGTATATTGACTACAGTCAGTGAAAATCTCTTTAAAAAATAAAAATAAAAAGTGCTGTGTTAGAAAATGTCTTTGAAGTGTAAGCAACCTGGATGGGAACTGTTTTATTCTGTAGGATAGTTTTTGTGAAGCAAGCCTGCATAGCATCAGCATTTCACTTTCAGTTTGCTGTAATGACTCCTTTTAAACACAGTGACACAAAGCTTCCCTGTGCCTGCTAGTTTCCCCTATTACACTTTCCCATGACCTTGTCAGGATCCTTTTATTCCATACTTCTCGAGATAATTCTTTGATCCAATCTAAAAATGTTTTCTCCTCTTTTTTCTTCATCCTCATAGCCTAGCCTCCAAGGTGCCATAAAAAAAAAAAATCAGATTCCTCCCAGTGTACTGTGACCATCTTTTTTTACATGTACAATAATAGATTTCTGTCTCATAATTATCCTTTCCACTTCCGGCTTGAAGATCTATTCCTCTTATTCTCCATATTTTGAAGTATTAAGCCCATGTACATTATGTTGTCTATTTCAAATATAGACAAAAGTGATCTATATTGCTTAGGGCATACATTAAAGGGGTTAAACAATAAAGAGAAGCAAGGAGACAATAACAATAAAAGTAAGGCTAGAAGTTGCTTTTTATTTATCAGAACAATACTTTTAGTTTCTGTTCCATTCTTTACATCAGCCCAATTTGGAGAAGGAAGGAATCTACTCAGCAGATCTATGAACATTTAAGCCAATCAAAATTGGGGTCTAGAATTCCATAAGGTCATGAACTCTAGGTCTCCATTTTCATCATCAAAATAACTTTAAGATCAACTACCCTGTTTCCCCGAAAATAAGACAGTGTCTTATATTAATTTTTTCTCCCAAAGTTGCGCTAGCTCTTATTTTCAGGGGATGTCTTATCTTTCCATGCGCTAGGTCTTATTTTCGGAGGATGTCTTATTTTTGGGGAAACATGGTAGCAGTAGATTCAGTTAGCTTTCTTTTTTAAAATTTCCTATTTTTTTATTGTTAAAAGTATTACAAGAGGCCCCTCTTTTTCCCCCATTGACCCTTTCTAGCCCTCTCCCCGCCCCCACACACACACCTCTCAGATCTTCACCACACTATTGTCTGTGTCCATGGGTTGTGCATACAAGTTCTTTGGTTAATCTCTTCCCTTTACTTTTTAGAAATAAGAGGTAAAAGGAAAGTTTCTAGGGTACCAGGTATGTTTTTAATTATAGATTACCTAACCCAGTGTTTGTTTTACAACAATTTAAAGCTTACATATAATTAAGATTGCTGAATAAAATAGAGTATATCAAAATTCAAAAAATAGATAAAATGCAGGATAGAAATATGATTTTCAGATTAAAAATATTTTTAAATAATGAAGATGAACATGGTAATGGGAACATCATAACCTTTGATGTGAGAAGACATGGGTTCTGGTCCAAGCTTTTCCACCTGCCACTTGTGCGATCTTCGGCTTAAATTGTAAAAATTCATGTGAGCACTTTAAGTCTCAGTGTTCTCACGTTTAAAATGAGCAAAGCCCGAGCTCTGTTGTGAAGATTAAGGAAAGACATCATGTAAAGAATTCCTAGGAAATCTAAATTATATGTAGATAAAAATAACACCTCTGCAGCTTGATAGAAAATGCAATTATTAATACATGATGTCATTTTTCTAAAGGAAAGTGGACAAAAGGGAACAACCATGTAAAATATCCCTGCATTGGTTTCCAACAAAGCATAAAAAGTACAGGATTTATGGCAGAGACCCCTTCCTATTTTATAGAATCTTAAAATACCCTGTGTTGCTCAGCCAGTGAGCTCAATGGTTAAACACTGACCCATGAACCAGGAGATAGAGATTCAATTCCCAGTCAGGGCACATTCCTGGGTTGCAACCTCAATCCCCAGGAGGCAGCGGAATGAGGATTTTCTTTCATCATTGATGTTTATATCTCTCTGTCCTTCTCCCATCCTCTCTGAAATCAATAAAAATATATCTTTTTAAGAAAGATTTTAAAAATAGCCTGTCTTCAGTGTATCTCCCTAGAAAAACTACCTGTAGATAGACCCACACACAGCATCATTTTTCTAGTCAAAATTTCATATTTCATTTCCATCATCAGTTTCCCTCTGTGTAAACAATGAATGGCTATATGGCAATCCCCAAAATGCATAGGCCTGGCAAATGAGAACACCGTGGCATTCTAGAAAAGATCAGAAATGCCTAATGTTTTATAAGGGTAATTGTTTTTTAAATTATTTGAGATATTAAAAAAAAAAAAAAAGCCCTTGAGGTGTTATTCAGAGAGTGCAAAGATCAGGGTTGTGTTACAATGCATGCCTGAATGGGATGCGGTTGATGACCAGGATTGGAAATTGCTGATGTCAAATCCCCACACTTTCCCTCCTTTTTTTCTCTAATTCTTCATTCTCTTTCCCTTTTCCTCAGCGATTGTAGTACTTTTTATCACCCTGAGACGCAGCAAAAAAGAGCCCCTGATCATTTCAGAGGAGGACGTGCGGGAGAACGTGGTCACCTATGACGATGAAGGGGGCGGGGAGGAAGACACGGAGGCCTTTGACATCACAGCCTTGAGGAACCCTTCTGCAGCTGAGGAGCTCAAGTACCGCAGAGATATCAGACCTGAAGTGCAGCTCACGCCCAGACACCAGACATTGTCCACCCTGGAAAGTATAGACGTTCAGGAGTTCATTAAGCAAAGACTGGCGGAAGCTGACCTGGATCCCAGTGTCCCTCCTTATGACTCTCTTCAGACTTATGCCTACGAGGGTCAGAGATCAGAAGCTGGATCTATCAGCTCCCTGGACTCGGCCACTACGCAGTCAGACCAGGATTATCAGTACCTTGGGGACTGGGGACCAGAGTTTAAAAAGCTGGCTGAACTCTATGGAGAAATAGAATCTGAAAGAACAACTTAGGGGTCAATTCTTTCACCGTTCTAGAATTTGTTGCCTGAGCAAGCGAACACATAACCTCAGCCATGACAAGGAAGAAGCGTGGAAACAGTACTTGGAACTGAGCAAGCTGTACACAGCCACTGTAGAAACAAGTGCCCTTTTCATGATCGAAACTGGGTTATTGAATCAGGAGAAAGTCAAATTAACCTAAACACAACACAGAGAAAAAGCTATTGTACCTTGTGTATATTTTCAATTGCTCAATAAAGTCTGTGGTACTGTTTACTGAAGAATACCTGGATTCAACCAAACAATGATATTCGTTTCAATACCTTGTTATTATTTTTTTTTCCTCCCCAAACAAAACTAAGTAGAAAGGTTCAACATCACGTATGCCTGATTTCTAGGGGCAGTGCACACTGCAGAATAAAACTTGTGAAGGTAGTCCAGACCTCTTTGTCCACTTTTCTGAGTGGACTTCTGAGACCCACACTCTTATTGTGACAGATCTCATTAGCTTTGTTTTATGTTTAAATGACGTGAGAGATATCCAATCCACTAGGCTGCTCTGACGTGGAATTTTATGGACCATTTTTCTCTGCCCTCCCCACTTCTTTTCTCCATACGGAATGGATGGAGCATGGGGATTTGCTGCTTGCACTCTAATGTATGCAATTTCTGTGCACTGACAGTGCACTGCTGTCTCTGTCCCACAGGCCCCCTTTTATTTTAAAAGAAAAAAAACACTTTTTATTAAATTGATAAAATGAATGGTTTGCGGTATACTCAGCCAATCTGAAATATCAGGGAAAGATTTAATGTAAAAATTAGCTATAAACCTCACCCTGCTCAAACTTTTGAGGAACTCTCTATTTCTCCCCCCCCCACCCCTCATTGTTTTCATATGTTTAAATCAGCAGATTTGATCATTCCTGTAACTCTAATTAGTTGTCAAAAATTTTGTAATTTCTTTATACTTCAGTACAGTTGGCTTATTTATGGCATGGGCAGTCATCAAAAATATGTACATTGCCACATAAGAATGTAGTCCAAAAATATTATCCCCAGTACCTTATAGACTTCAAATTGACTTTTATTCCTTACATCCATTCAGACTTGTCCCATCTCACTGACTGATGAGCCCTTATATGCTTGCGATCTGCAGGAAAATATGGAAGACTAGGGGTAAACCACAACAAAGGAGGCTCCCACGTATTATTCTTGGAGACGTCCCCAGAGTTTCTGAGCTTTGGGGTCCGAACTATGAAGATGGCTTTCCTCCCTTCCTCACAGGCTTGTGTGAGGATCCTTAAGTATCTGCAGCAATGCTTTGCCAACAATAAATTATTTTGTTCCATTAAGGCTTGCAGACACCATCTAATTTTCTAATTCCATTGGCTTATAAGTGTATAGTTGCATATGTTTTGGATAAAATGGATTATCATGGGAGAATTGCATAACCCTTCAACAGCGAAGCAACTACTAACTATACATATAATACACAGGTTTACTTATTTTAATGTTTTTCCAAATCAGATAATTTTCTTAGAATTTCTTGGGGTTTTGCACCCAAATTGTTTAGATACTATTTGCGGTTGTTGCTTTTGATCTTGAAATAATAATTCATAGATAGGGTCCTATTAGCCAAAAATGACCACATTTATGTATCAATTGAAATTCACAACAATATTTTCAAAGGGGTATTCTTTGGTTTGCCTTCAAATTTATCATATTCTAGTGTCCTCTAAAGCTATCTGATATTTCCTGTCTGATTCTACCTATGTGCAAAACTTTGACTATTTGCCTCTGTTCGTAACTGCCCTGTGCTATCATATTTCAGTTTTGAGGTATGGGACATAAGTTTAATTTGAATAATTCTCAATTTGTGTTTTTAAGCCTGAGGAATAAAATGTAATTTAATTTTTATAACATTCTAACTTTCCAGATACTACTTTATCGCTTTTTTTTATGTCACAAGAGTATGCATTCTGGCAAAAAGCTAAATCAAAAGAGACACGGGGCTTTGGGGAATAAGCTCTGAGGGACCCACTCTGATTATGGAAGTGTTGGGCCACACTCATCCCGAACAGAGAGTAAATCTGGGAAGAACTTTACGAATCCTGGTGTTTTGACTTCCCTATGCAAAGAGGACCAGGAAGGCCAAGTCTCAGGAGTCCAGTAGGCTTTGGGGTTTAGACTTTTGATAAACTATCCACAGCTTTTGTTTTGTTTTATATTGTTTTGCTTGTTTGTGTTTAATATTCATCCAGTAACTTTACAAATTATTTGAACGATGAAAATGTATCTGTACGTATAACCATTTACATAAAAGCCAAGGGCCTCTTGCATGGTTTCAAGTACTAAAATATTTCCCTACTTTTGTAGGAAAAACAAAAAGCCAGATCCATCTAATTTTTAATTGCACATGATAACGATAATGGATTGCTTCTAAGTCCCTGATATAAAATCTAATATGTAGGCAAAATGGAGCTTCTGTGGTATTGAAATATTATATTTCTATCTTGATTTCTTTTAGAATTTTATTAATGAAAGCATTACAAGCATTATTTTTATATGGCCTATGAAAGTAGGCAATTATATTATTATCATAAGTATGGATTGGGTCTCATATTCTTTTATTCTGCTACTTTTAGTAACACACACCACACACACATACACACCCAAACAATAATGATGTATAAATGCATTGTAAACTCACTGAAGTCATTTAACATTCAATACCTCACTTTAAAAACTCAAGTTTATCAATGTTAGGAGAAAATTTTCAACATGTTTAGTGATCAGAGAGTTGACACATCAACCCTGAGCATTTACTGGCCATAGATAATCAGCTCTGGAACCATATATCATTTCATATGGAATCAGCTATGGGATCAATAATGTGCTCAGCACATTTTGTATATCATAATTATATTCATAGATCTAAATAAAATATAACTTTGAAATAAATATACTTCTTTCTAATAAGATAATTTTTAACCCACAGAGGCAATACTAAATGGTGACTGCTAAGTAGAGGAAATATAAATTGCTATAATAATTTTTATCCAAGATTTTATTATGCTAATTTATAAATTCCAATATTCTTTGTGAAAACAGTAAAGCATTAATAGATCTTAAAGAAATGGCTACAAATCCATCATCAGAAATTATTTCTATAACAAATCTGTACAAAATACAGATTTAAAGATGGGACTGAAGAGGAAATTATCCCTAAGAAAAGGCTGTGTACCTAAAATCTAGTACAAGTAGGAAAATATTTTGGGAGAAATTGCATTGACATAAACACACATATATGTGAACACACACATAACTCTTCTTGGAGAATATTGGAGAATAAAGGAATATATACAATAGTGACTTGAATATTGATATGATCCAAATACAAGAAGTATGCAAACCTTTAGTATATAGCATTTGGAAGATTCAGATAGATTTCAATGAAAAATCTTTGGGCTTCATTGTGTATCCAACCTTAGCCTAACTTTCAGTGATGTCAAACACTGACTCCGATTCATAGATGTGGTTACACAGAACAAAGTTATCAAGCTGTACAGTGCAGCTATTAAATACTAACACATTTTTTGACTTATATGCTTGGTGTAATGCAATGTAGTAAAAAATCTGGGTAGAAGGAGAGATTCATATTGAGTCCAACATTCTTAGTAGCAATATAGATACATTAAATATACAACTGTTCTCTTTTTGTTGTTTGTGCAGACCTGCACTGATGAGTGTAATTTGTTTTTGTTTGTTTGTTTGTTTGTTTGTTTGTTTGTTTTCTGTCTGGTTTACCTGAATATATAGGGAATACAAACAGAAATGTAGGTACCCTGTTTATTTCAGCAACCATCAAAAATTAGCAAATAACTGAACAAGGTAATAAGTGTAGAAGGATGTGCATAGATCCAGTACCTTTATGGGATAACTTTGCATTTGCTTATTAGTATGGGCATTACTTGATCAGCTATTCAACAAATCAGAACTCTAAAACTACATATTCTGGAAAGATTCAAACTTAAATTATACTTAGTTTCAAGATTTGATAACATTGAATTAACATACGGGCTTTCCATTTTAAAAGAACAAACCTCAGAACAGTTGTTGAGAGATCTGACTCAAATTCAAATTTCCTTTTTTTTACCCTTTAGGGAGAAAGACTATTTAAATATTATTTGAAGGAAACAAGACCATTTCAACTTTTATTTTCTACCTCATCTGCAGAAGGTAAATTTTTTTGTTCTATAAGATTAGGAATCTCATAAACTATAAAATCTGAAGTAGTTCACAAGCATTTGACTAGCACAACCAGCACTGAACCCACTCACTTTTTCAAGAATTCCAAATATATAATTTAAAAATAAAAAAAGATCAATACCAATGATTTTAACATTTGAAAATAAGTAGTGTTCTTGCTTTGATTTATACCAATAAAATATGTAGTTGTTCTTTTTAATAAAGAAAGAGATGAGAGAGAAAAGATAGATCATTTTTTCAAAAAGGGTTTAAAAAATGCTTTTAAGTTAATGAGTAAGAAAAACCTTTTCACTTTGCTGAGTTTATGGAAATAAAGAATATTTGCCCTTCAATACTACAGAGACATCAAACATATTTTAGTAATGATCCAATTTTTAAAGTCTTAGGTGAAATTAAATGGAGAATATAGTCACTCAAGGATTCTTGAAATAACTGTGAGGAAGGTATGCAGTTTATAAATTAAAACGAGTTAATTGGATGGTTTGCATGTGCCCTGACTGGTATCAAGCTGTGTGATTTTCTGGTTCATTGGTTGACAATCACTGAGCAACACTGACAGGGCTGCATGGTTTAGTCTTATTACCCAGCAATATTAACTTTGAAAATAAAAAATAAAAAATGGGCCACAGTAGTTAGTGCCACCCTAATAATTTTATTAAACAATTGTTCTTATATAAAAAGGCTGCAAATTCTTATTCTAAATCGCCTACTGGCATTTTTAAAATGCTATTTCAGATGCCTTA